AAATGATGGCAATAAACATAGATGGGTAAAGACTGCAAGTTGGTTCTTACCAGAACATGTTCTTTTTCCTTTACCTTTCCATAACATTGTTACGTTTGTTATTGTTAATACAAGGGTAAAATAAAAAAAAAAAAAAACAGAATTATCTTACACAATTTATTTGCTATTATGTAATTATCAGTTATAGGAGAAGGGCCGACTAACCCAGACAGTTCAGGGGTGGATGACCTGAGCTAATGAAGTTGTTTTGGAATATTACCTTGGATTTGTAACTTTATTAATGGTTAATTTTTGAACAATAGAAAATGGTTGAGCGCCACCGCTAGTCGAATCCCAACGGATACGGATAAATAATATGGAAAGACTGCACCTTATTAAAGGGTTAGGGCGAAGGTTCAGCCCTGCTTTGATAGGTCTCTGCTTGTAGAAATGGGACCAGAAGCGAGGAAAATAAAGAAGTTTTACCACCAACTGGTACCAGGAACTTCTTGTACAGTAACGCCGGAACCAAAAACCTCCTGAAATCAATGTGAAATTGAGTTGATATAATCTTGGCGCTGGAGCCATAGTGTAAGCTGGCCCAGCGGAAAAGAATACGACCTTCATATACCTAATGATGAGTGCTGTGAGGGCGGAGTGACAGGGGTGCAGTATTAAACTAAAGCCTCTAAACATCATCTGAGTTCATGAGAGCATCTACTCACAACCTACCCTTTTTTCGCTTCGGCGGCAGTAACAAAATCGTACCTTTTGGAGAAAAACGCTGCCACGCGATCGCTAATCAGCGATGTCAACTCCGGAGAGAAGATAAGTCAAGGGCCGTCGTGATATTGGCGCGCCGCCCACGCGTTCGACGTCGCGACAACACCAACGCCGAAGTCAGCTCTCTCGAACACCGCTAATCTCGAAAAGACCGACTGTCATCCGGCAGAGTGACGAGCAATTTCAATTTTGACAATTCCTGTCAGACTAACTTTTTTTTTAAATGAAGGGAACGATTTATTAAGCCAACCTGTAGTTGACACACATGTGTCAAATATTCTATGTAACAACATAACACTTCTTAAATCATTTTAATTACGGCAAACTCAAAAGTGGATAAACTATTCTGTGAAGGGCCCGTCATTGAACGATGATTACTAACTTTATAATGAACTAACCGTTTTCCCGCCACTTCAACCGCGTAAAGTATAGCCTATATCAGTGGTGTATGATGTAGCTTCCCGTAGGTGAAAGATTTTTCAAATCGGTCGGGTAGTTTTGGAGCCTTTTTGATGCTAACAAACAAACAATTATTTTCTCTTTATGATATTAATATAGACTAGCTTTTCGCCAGCGGCTTTCACCCGCATGGTTTTCCCTTTTTTGCATGACATTTGCTTAATACACATCACCAACCTATTAATATCCTCAATGCTGGAGACTGCTGTTACATTTCATTCAAGTCCATCCAGAGGGAAGCTCAGGCGTCCTCTACGGGTGGAATCGCATGGAAGGCCTGAGCTTGAATGAAATCAAATAGGGAGTATGGATCATGACCCAGAACGCGGTTTCAGTGCAGATTGGTTTGTATTTACAACTGCAAATGCAGCCGTGACCAACACTTTAACGTGCTTTCCGAAGCACGGATGAACTCGAGGTAATATATTTTTGGTCCCCCATCCTATGACCAGCCATTGCGAAAGTTGCTTACAGTCGTTAAGCAACTTTTTTCTAATCGTAGACCGAGCAGTGTTTAGCACATTTTCATAAATTCTCCACTCTACATAGCCTATATAGCCTTGCTCAATAAATGGACTATTCATAACAAAAACAAAATAATTTGTATTAGTAGTTCCTGAGATTAGCGTGTACAAACAAACGTTTCTGTTTTTCCATTCCTCCAAGAGCTCACATAAAACCTTTTCTAAACAGGTCCAGTCTAATTACAATGAATGCTATTTTGCCACATTGTTATTTGATAATATACATACTTAAGTACCTGAATATTTTAACTCCAAAATAACTTGGGTTAAGGATAAAAATGTATACTGTACTAGAGCTGTCTCTTATATGATACAAAATATATCAAATAGATCAGTCAGTTTGAGGTTAGGCAAATATTAGAAAAATTTAAATTTATGAATTACAATAGTAAAATCAATTAATAACTTTTGTTTACATTATATTATTTTTATATTATACAAACGTTGTTGTGTATGTTATGTGTGCCCAACAAAAAATAACTTTTCTTTCTTTCTTTCAAACAAACAAACAAACCTTTCAGCTTTATTATATTAAGTTTAGATAGGAATATACTGATTCTAGAAATACGTGTTTTCACAGGATGGTCCAAAATTTTATATATAGCTACAAAGACATTGATTTTTATAGTAAGAAAAATATTTATGATCTGTCTGGAAGAGAAACTATTTATTGATTACCAATAACAAGTCGGTATATAGGTTAATGTACTCACTGAAATAGATCCAAGGTTGATATGTATTGCAATATGTGCAAGTATGTGTTTAAAAAAATCATACACGTTATGTATCTATCACCATACTATTCAAATAAACTGCCATTCTCTTCAATTGATCTTAACATTGAATCTATTTCCGTATGTATAATAATCTAAATGCCGGCTGTTTAATATTCAAATCCCAAAACATAACTTTGTTGTAAGCAAAGTTTGTATTGACTATTCAGATATTAACATAGTTAAAGTGGGTATGAAATTGAACTAATTACATTAATTATGACGTCATACTACGCTATTAATTTATTCGGATTATAAGGTTTAGCCTTGCTGGAGTCACAGACATAAATTTAATTCAAATAAGTAACTTCTAATATCATTGCGCTATACGAGTCTATAAACGACCTCTGTAGTTCGTATCTATAGTCGAGAGAAGTAATTAATTAAGAAAATGTCAAAACTTAAGCGAATATTTTAGCCAGCCAACGAGAATTTGAATAAAGTGAGACCTATTAATAGCTAATAATAGTAGTAGTAGTACTCAAACTACTAATAGTTCTTACTTCAAAGAAAAGGAGGAGGTTATATATCCGACGACGATGTTTTTTTTATGTATGTTCACTGATATTTTCGTCACTTCTTGATCGATTTTCAAAATACTTTTTTTATTCGACAGCTTTATGAATCGAGGTAGTTCGATTTTAATTTTATGGAAATCAAATAAGTAGTTTTCCTTTTAACATAATAAAACAAAATACGCTTTACAATAGATATCACCTAAATATTAAGATATGTTTTGATATGGCTCATTTCAGCTAAAAAATAAAACATTGCGTATTTAGAATATATTAAAAATCTACTTCGCTAATACTTCTACTTTAATTGCATTGTCACTTTTGAAATAAGTATTATTTATCACTCTTTTAAATTTTAATGCCGGTTTTACTTTTTATTAAAAGTTTTTATGTATAATGTATATGATGTTGCTTAATATTCGTTGTTATTATATATTTAACTTACTCTACATCGTTTACGTGAAACGTTATTTTAATATATTATCCCTTTACACTGCGTAATTCAACAGATGTTGCTCTTCAAATACCCTTATAAATAAATTTACGCAAACGCAATTGAGTTAGTTAAAAACTAATAATTCGGCGTCCCGTATTTAAATTTAATTCGCATACAGTTCTGTGTAATTCGAAATAACAAAATTATTATAAAAAATATACATGTTAAAATAAGTTTTAATAAAATTATTACATTCGGCTCAGACTATAGAGTCATTAGGTAAAATATGTGTAGCAAACAAGTGTCCGAATAGCTAGTTATTTTCATTTTTTTTAATACGGGAGCTGTTCGGACAACGGACGCATTATTGACACTTTAATTTATATTATGCGGTTAAGTTTGCAACGAACGTAAATTTTTGTGTGTCAGTATATAAGTATTTAATGAATTTCGTTGAATTAAAAAGTGAGACCCTTCTTTCATTTTTTTTTTGTTTTCTGTTTTCCAGAGATACACTCTTGGCCCACAAGAGTATTTATCTATTTCATAACTATTGAGAGAGTTATTAGTACCATTTATAGTTTGACAAACTCTGTGGCCGAGCGGCTCACACGCCCATTTCAATAGTATCGCAATATATCAGGGTACTATTATCGGTCGGAATAATCTAGAAAATTAATTAAATTAGGCATAAGAATATTAAACTATATAACCTGGATCTTGATATTGTGGGAACTTAGTTTGTTTTACATTTCTATAGAATAATGGCGTTAGGTGTTAATGACTATAGATACGGCTGGGACAGCTTAACGTGCTTTAAGAAGTATGGAGGAGCTCGAGCCAATACCCATTCTATGATATACCCTAAGAAAGTTCTTTATCTTCAGCGTCGTAGAATAAATGCGCTTACAAGCTCCTCTATGAATGTGTATCAAGAAACGTTATCAAAGCATTCAGGTTAAGATTGAATACACATCAGCGATGAAATAGTGCACTAACGTTTGTCATTCGTTGCTTATAGAGCAACATAAAAACGAATCCTTCAATATATTTTTACGACTTGATCGAGATTGAGGTAACTGAGTCGTTCCACGGTTTTCTTTTGCTTCCAGGTTATCAAGAAATTGCCATTCTTCCATGAACTTCCTTATAAAATTTAATGTTTTTGAGTACTACGAATTTTCCGACATATAAATTTTCGACGAACCTTTATAATTATATATATTTTTTGTATCGTGCAGTTAACATTATTAACCTACACATAACCTCGATTTACATGGCCAAATTATATTTTAATAATAAGTATTACCTAGATAATTAAAAGATTTGTTGCCCATAAAAGATACCGTATTTACTGACGTAATATGGCGTTTAAACGTTAAATTCCATCATGCGGGTTTTTCTGTATATTCTTTTTGTTATAAGGAAAATGTGTGAAATAATTATATATAAGAATTGTATCAGTATAACAATTTCTCAGGTAGCATGGATAAAGTCGGACTCGAAGGCAATACTGGCGATTCACACAAATATGGTAGCGCTAAATCCCCGCCTCTCTGTCACGTACAACAACCACAACACTTGGAAACTGCACGTGAGCAACGTACAGGCCAACGACTCCGGTACCTACATGTGTCAAGTGAACACGGACCCTATGAAGAGTCAGGTGAGTTCAAAATTCTCTATATAATGTTTAAGTATCGTCAAATAATTTTCCTTGTTTTATTGCCGTTTAACTTAACCTAATATAAGACAATAGTACATTCGTAATATGTGGTAAGTTTCTATGATATCTTTAGTGTACAATAAAAACAAGATATTTAATTCGAAGACATAAAGACTCTTTATAATATTAGTCTTTCAATTTAAGTTTTTTATTTATTGATTAAACTTCAATTGTAATATTTCATATTCTCAATACATCTTCGTAGCCGAGCCGGGGTCAAGGTGTCGTCATATGAGCTCCTGGGTTCGATTCACGGTATAATCCATATAGAAAATGAAGGTTTCTTTATTGTGCTGGATTTGAATGTTATTATAGCTCCGTTATTTCAGACACTCTATAATACGAGTGATTTAGCAACTAATATTGAATATTACCGTTTTTTTCTTCTACGTATGTTGTTTCAATACACTAAAACTTAAAAGTTACCCAGCGTACCAGATATAGACATTATTATTAACACCAGTTTGCCTAAGTACTATCATTTTATTACACACATGATGATAGTTTGGACCGACGGTTTTAAGTTTCGGCGCACGGAGGCGTTAAAAGCCATTTTTGGTTACTCAACCGAGGACGACCCTTAACTTTTGCGGTCGTAAAATACGTAAACAACTACACTAGGACGAGCGTCTCAAAATAAAAAAAGAAAATACGCGAGCGTCAGTAATGTCCCCAGACAAAACTACATAAAAATTACGTACTAGAGAAAGTAGAGTTATAAATAGTTTATCGTTTGAATATTTAAAAGAAAACAAGTTTTTTTTTTTATGGAAAAGTAGTAGTAGATCCAGAAGAGGCGATGAATGATAAGAGTTAGGAGCAACAATAGGAATGACGACTGGATAAAAAAAATCTATTTTCTCTGTCAGTAAGATAATAGAAAAATATTAGATACGTATTATACTTGCTTCGATTTAGTAAGTTAAGCATTAAATTATATAATTAGTAAGTTAAAGAGGCATTAAAGTTGAGGAATGGGGGCTTACGAGCCACAGTGATGTAGAAATTGCACAAAAGCGTGCCGTCTTACGACATTAAAACTCAATGTCGGCGGGTTTCTGAATTGAGAAAAGTAAAAAATCTCAACTGATTATTCCCAATGACTTAAGATTTTTACGTTGTACATGGCAAAAAGTATTAGTTTTATCGAACTGCTATCTGCATTAAAAAATTGATCAGTTGGTAGCAGTTTGATAAAAAAAAAACAAACAAAATCCGTTTACGTAACGTTTGAATTGGCCTAAGTACGGTTTGAGATATACTGAACTTTAAATTCTCAATTCAGAAACCGGGTTTGTATCGCCGTAATTTATTGGTTACGCAATTAAAAAAATACGTTTTTAATATTCTTCAATAATCTACCTGAAGGACAAACACATAAAAATTAGTCGTCATTCCTATGGCATCAATTTAAAATAAGTTCAAAACAAAAACTTATATTGAATAGGGAGAATGAGCCATGAAAACACGCGGCCCTAGTGTGGGTTCATCATCGGACCTGTTACGTTCCCACGGCAGGGGTTCGGGTTGTTTAATGAGGATAGGCCATAATCTTCCACGCTGGCCCAATGTAGATTGGCGGGTATTAATGACTACAAATTCCGCCGGGACCAAGGGTTAACGTGCACTTCGAAGCACGGAGTAGCTCGAGACAATAATTTGTGATCACCCATCTCGTGACCGACCTTTGAAAAATGTTGATTAAGAACAACGTACGCGGGCCGCGGCGCTTATTCACTATTGCACTGACCTAATACACGTGGACTGGTGGGTGGTAATATATACAGTTGCAACCGAACCAACGGCTTAACGTGCTTTTCGAAGCTTTTAAGTCTATTTTATGACTGACCTTAACTTTCGCATCACAGAGCGAAAGCGCTAAATACAACGCCATTTAACTTTTCTAAAATATATCTGTAATATGTAGTGCATATAAAATTAATTAAAATAACAATTGTTATTTCACAGATGGGCTACTTATCAGTAGTAATACCGCCGGATATTGTAGATACAGTGGCTGAAGGAAGCACCGCACAAGAAGGCGGCAGTGTGCGCCTGACATGCACAGCCACAGGAGAACCACCACCAACTGTCATGTGGCGTAGAGAACACAACAAACCGATCGTGTTCCGACACGACGGAGGGAGGGAGAGAAGAGGTAAGTAGCTAAGGACCAACAGTGCGATTATGTAAACATATTTTGAAGATCAGTAAGTTGAATCTGCAGGAGAATCAAGATTCGTATTCTGTTTAACCCGAAAATGCCACTGGCGCTTCTCTGTCTAGCGCCTTTCATGCGCTAATTCATTTTTTCATCTGATAATATGGCTTCGAGTTTGGATTTTTACCTAATAGCACTGCGTATTAACAATTTTCATAAATTTATTTTAAAAGTATAAAATAAACTAAAACATTTATGTGATAAAATGGTTTTGTATGTTTTATAATTTGACAAAAATCTTACTAAACAGCAATGAAAAAATACTGAACTATGATCTCTAGATGATTCTTGTGATAAAGAACACTTGAATCCTACCCGGTTTAAGTTACTATTTTAAAGTACCTTATAAAATTATTTAATTCTAGAGTGAGCATACCTTTTCTTAATTTCTTCTAGGTTATATTGTCTATAATCTCTTTCACCTACGGGTAGCTAAATCATGCGGGATTTTTATTTTACATTTTTATATAGTTTTGACGCTGGAGGAGGTTAGGCGTTCTTCCCGAAAGCGCAACTAGTTCTACTGTTCACTGTCGACTTAACTATTAACATTGCATATTGTAGAGCACGATGCTGCGCTGAGGTCAACACGTTCCGGTAATTATCGCAAAATTGTTCGACGACCAAACGTGAAAATAAAGGTCATTTGGGTGGGTGGGACCGAATTAACGACGGTTAAAGGATACTTAATTTAATTCCAACTACAGTGACGCTCTGCAAATTTCGAGGCGAATAAACTGGAGCAATATACAAGGTGGAACAATATATTTAAAAGTATAAATAAAATGTATTTATTTTTAGGGGTTCGCTAGTAAAAAGGAACCCTTATAGTTTCACCATGTCCGTGTGTCCGTCCGTAAACGGTTTAGCTCAAAATCTATTGGTACATGAAAATTTTAATTTGGCATGAGTATATATATAAATTATGCCGACAAAATTGCATGGTGAAATTGAGAAAAACTATTTTTGGGTACCTATATATTAGGTGGGAATAATATAGTGTGGGACATCTTTGGTCTTTCAAAAACATTGGGGTGTTAGAAGGCCGTTTTTCGATTTACGACAGTAGTACCGATATATAACGAAGTTAAAAAAAAACTATCACACTCAAGTTAAGTAAGGCTTTACAAGGTTACGAGTAAGAGTCGATCATTTGTAATAGTATTTAAATCGAACAACTCCATAGAAAACAACAAATGTGATTTGTTTTTACTTATTTTTAATGGATAATTGTACGGAGCCCTTCGTACGCGGAACTGATTTGCACTTGGCGGGTTTTTACATTTATTTATTTTATGAAGAAATTATTTTTATTAAAAATTTTTATGCGTGTTTCTGTATAGCCGCGATGACGGCGATGAATTTTGACGTCCTATTTCGCAAAATAGTATTTTTTATTATTTCTATTTGTCTTATTGACTGGCCTGCCGATTTTGTCTTGTTATCCTATTAATTGTATGTCTTTTTTTAAGGCTGGCCGTAAAAAAGACTATTTCGTTGCTCTCGACAGTTAGATATATAAAGAGAATAGCGAATACCGCGTAAAAATATTGTTAGTAAATTACTCTCAAACTATTACGATTATTGTAAAACCTATTACACGAAGTAAAGTCACTCACTTATTTAACAATTTTCCCTTTAAAAACGTTTTGACTATGATAAAACCATTAAAAATACAGTGTACATAGCGATTATTTCTAGGTAAGATACTAATTGAAAGATAGTAATTTTTGGTATACTTATATGCTCAGTGAGCATCGCTCACTCAACGTAGTTGTGTAAAAAATGTATACAAGACGAAATCTAACAAAATTTCATACGATATCGATTCGGAATATACCACTGATACTCCAAGCAACAAATCAGCCTGCTGCCCCCCTGTAATAAAATGCTTCAGTCAATTTTTATAAGTTATTTGAGATAACGAGCAACTGACACTTTCTGTGTTTTCAACAGTCATAAATTCACTTTATCTGAGTTATAGAACCGATGCTGATTCACACTTGAAAGATAAGAAACTCGATTCATAAAATATAAGCGTTTATATACAGTTGGCAAAAGTATTAACGCTACATTGGTTATTTTAATTAACATGATTTTTCATATCATAGTTCAGCGATAAAACTCAACCCTACTCTCAAAACACTCAAAATCATAAGAACTCTCGCTGAAATATATTTGTAGGGAAAAAGTTAATTTAACTTTCACTTAGTGAAAATTGGCAATATCGCTAGTAGAGAATGTCATAAAACCTTCATTTCTCTCTCCGCCCAGACTTGATCTAAGGTTTTCTACAGAGAATTCAGGGAATTGAATTTATGATATAACTTAATAATATTTGACGAATTGTTTTGTAGTAATATACTCATATAATAAAAGCTCTATAGCGCAATGAAAACGTGTTCAACCTGCTATATGTAAGTTAAGCAACAAGCAACAGCAAAGAGAAATATTTATTATCTTGACCAATGGACAAATCAACGCTTGGTTATACCGGTGGTCTCTGCTGCGTCTGCAATCGTCAATACCCACTGATCTGCACTGACCTCACGCATTCGTTTCTATTCGACTTCCTACATAGAAAAGTCTTGTGCAACAGTACTGGAGGCATTAATAGGTTGATGAGATACACCCAGTCATCATCATCATCAGCTCTTTTACAACCCACTGCAGGGGCTCAGGCCTTCCTTATAGTTGGTTAAAGAGGAAGGGCCATGACTCTCCGCGCTGGCCCAATGCGGATTGAATGGGTGGCTTATCCATTACGCCACCGAGCTACTCCACACCGAGTACAAATTGATAAATGTCAATTGCAGCTACAACCAAACTAAAGATTTAACTTCTTTTACGACACTACAATTATGCAAAACGAACGCGGTAACGACCGTGTCATGAAAACCTACAAAATAAATTTGAAAAGATGTAGTTTTCAATAATCATTTATCAAAAATTGAATACATTATACTTGTTAATAATTAACGTAATTAAACGAAACATATGTAAACACTCGTCGTTATATTACCACGAAGTTTACAACTACACAATAAAAGCATTAGATAAAACGAGAATTCTAAATTAATAATAACCAATTCCAAGCTTGAAAGTTCTGAAGGTTATTTACCTTAAATTTCGTTCGTTAGAGCTCTAGTTGCTGTGTGAAATGGGATTTACCGGGACTAATTCCTTAGACTCGGGAGTGACACACGCAAAACTGTGCGAGTTTTATTGGACTACTAGGTGTAATCCGCTGCCTTGTTTGCATAAACCGGCTTAATAAGGGTAAGTATAATATTATTAGTGTAATAAAAGTTAGAAACACGTTATTTTTTCCATGATGTATTATAAGCATAGCATAGGAAGGTTTACGTTTTATTAGCGAATATTCATTTCTTTAGATTCTCTAAAATAATGTAATTAGTGTTTGTTATTATGAAATAGGAGAGTCTATGTAATTTATTTCGAATGCAGGAGAAATTTATTACATTATTCTACTGCTTTCAGGAAGGAATTTCTCATTTCATTTTTAAAAATGAGAGTCAAGCTGATACCTGAAATGCACTAAATATTCATTCCATTTTATGTTTCTTTGTGAACTAAATTTAAAATAGTGGTATATTCCTTTGTTATTAATAATATATGAATTAAAAATGTTAGTTGTTTTTTGCAACTGATTAGACAATAAGCCAAAGAAGTGTCAAAGAATCAATATTTTAAGAACAACTTAAAAGAAGCCGTATAAACTTAACATAAAAGAGCAGTAAGATAAAATTCAAAACAAAACTGCGTTCAACGCAAATTGATCCTTTAGTTAGAATATGATTCGTCGGCTCCAACTTTATCCTGTTAAGGCAGGCGATGGTTTGGAAAATATTGAGCGCGCCACGCTGCTTGTTTTCTCACACTCAACGACCTTAGAGCTATCTTTAATATAGTGGAAATGCTATGATTATACCCGAATCAAATTTGTTGGAGATACACCCACTTAAACGATATTATTTCTTTTGAGTACCAATTTTACAATTAAGTAACTTTCAGAAGTTACGTTTAACTGTAGACTTATATGACATGTTAATGTTTTCCTCAAAGAAAAAGAGTTACGGGGTCGTAGATTAACGGGACTCCTTAGATTGGCGATTTTTTTAGAGTTTCCGAGAAGCAAAATAATAATATTTAACTTTTTTTAAACTTTTAATACAAATATTTTGGTTTAATACTTATGTTACGGACGCACGTCTCGTCGAGTTGTATATATTAGATGATCTTAAGTAAATTATATATAATAAGTAAGTTTAATTAAATGAATGTGGTTAAAGCTTAGAATTAAATGATACAACCTATGGGTGTATTTATTCCCCTAGTATTAAGATAATTTAAGTTATAGCAAATTAAATGATTGTGAGGGGTTGGATTTTATTTGCTATGGTTTTCTATAAGGTATTGCCTCGCTAAGGAGGCTTAGGTAGCTCTCTGTATGGTATTGCTTCACTCAAGGAGGCTTATGTGGGTTTTCTATATGGTATTGCCCGAGTCAAGGGAGCTTATGTGGGTTTCTATACGGTATTGCCTCGATACAGGGGTGTTTAAAATGTAAAATGTTCGACTACCTTCATGTTAACAATAAAAATGTATCGGAGCGAGACGGCGCTGGTTTACGCGGGATCTTCCGTCTCGCTCTGACCACATAAATACATCGGGCAAGAGCCCGGCGCGCCTTAGAATGATTATGAGCTTCGACGGCGCGGTATTGCCCGACACGATACGAGTTATGTAACAATAATATGATGATGTTTTAACGTGATTTATGATGTAAATGTAGAAACAGTAAAACGTAGTAATTAACAATAATGTGATACATAGATGTTAAGGGTGGGGGATGGCTTCGCAAAGTAGGGGTTAGATATGTAATAGGCTAACCAACTGATAATATACGGAGCTAAGTGCGAGCCACCCCAACAAATGTAAGACGGGTCGATTTGAGCGAAATTTGTAAGCTCTCCGGCCCTCAAGATTTAAGAATAAAGAAGAAGTGAAAACCATCGAAGGAAGTTTCAATTATACAGTCCACCGCTCACCGAGCTACGAAGATAGAAGATTGGTCCATCGCTCGCCGGATATATGAAGTCAGAAGACT